TCAGGATTTTTTATACTGCACACACTGACCACACAGACCCATTCTCTCACATGTGGGCCTACCAGCTTTCTCCCACTTGATCTGAAGCTGCTAGAATTTTTGAGTATACATATATACGTCAAACACATTGGCTCATAAGACGTATATATATGACCGAAACAGTCAATGGGTTAATGTCCTCCCACAGGATGTGACCCATACCAGTTGGCTAACACTGAGATACCTGGAGTATACCTGGAGAGGGTTTCGGGGGTTAATGCCCCCGAGGCCCGGTCTGTGACCAGGTCTCATGGTGGATCTGGGCCTGATCAACCAGGCTTTTGCTGTTGGCCGCATGCAACCCGACATACGAACCACAGCCCGGCTGTTCTGGTACTGACTTTAGGTGCCTGTCCAGTGCCTTCTTGAAGACAGCCAGGGGTCTATTGGTAATCCCCCTTACGTATGCTGGAAGGCAGTTAAACAGTCTTGGACCCATGACACTTATTGTGTTGTCTCTTATGCTAGTGGCACCCGTTTTTCATTGTGGGGATGTTGCATCGTCTGCCAAGTCTTTTGCTTTCATAGGGAGTGATTTTTGTGTGCAAGTTTGGTACTAATCCCTCTAGGATTTTCAAAGTGTATATAATTATGTATCTCTCCTGCCTGCGCTCTAGGGAGTACAGGTTGGGGAACTTCAAGCGTTCCCAGTAATCTAGGTGTTTTATCAGTTATGTGTGCCATGAAGGTTCTTTGTACATTTTCTAGGTCAGCAATTTCACCTGCCCTGAAAGGTGCTATTAGTGTGCAGCAATATTCAAGCCTAGATAGAACAAGCGACTTGAAGAGCATCATCATGGGCATGGCATCCTTAGTTTTGAAGGTTCTCAGTATCCATCCTGTCATTTTTCTAGCAGATGCAATTGATACACTGTTTTGGCCTTTGAAGGTGAGATCCTCTGACATGATCACTCCTAGGTCTTTTACATTAGTTTTTTGCTCTATTGCATAGTTGGAATTTGTTTTATAATCAAATATAGTTTTAATTTCTTCACATTTTCCATATTGGAGTAATTGAAATTTCTCATCATTGAACTTCATATTGTTTTCTGCAGCCCATTTAAAGATTTGGTTGATGTCTGCCTGGAGTCTTGCAGTGTCTTCAATGGAGGACACTGTCATGCAAATTCAGGTGTCATCTGCAAAGCTGTGGCTTACATCCCTGTCTATGTCAGATATGAGGATGAGGAACAGGATGGGAGCGAGTACTGTGCCTTTTGGAACAGAGCTTTTCACCGTAGCCACCTCAGACTTTACTCTGTTTACTACTACTCTTTGTGTTCTGTTTGTTAGGAAATTATAGATCCATCTAACAACTTTTCTTGTTATTCCTTTATCATGCATTTTGTGTGCTATTACACCATGGTCACACTTGTCAAAGGCTTTAGCAAAGTCTGTGTATACTACATCTGTATTTTGTTTGTCTTCTAGAGCATCCAGGACCTTGTCATAGTGGTCCAGAGTTGGAACAGACAGACACAACCTACTCTAAACCCATGTTGCCCTGGGTTGTGTAACTGATGGGCATCTAGATGGGTTGTGAGCTTGCTTCTTAGAACCCGTTCAAAGATTTTTATGATATGAGACATTAGAGCTATCGATCTGTAGTTCTTTGCCATTGCTTTATTGTTCCCTTTGCGGAGTGGGACTATGTCTGTTGCTTTTAGCAGCTGTGGGACGACCCCTGTGTCCATGCTCCCTCTCCATAGGAAAGTTAAAAGTACATGATAGGGGCTTCTTCCAGTTCTTGATGAACATGGAGTTCCATGAGTCTGGGCCTGGGGCAGAGTGCATGGGCATGTCATTTATTGCCTTTTCAAAGTCATTTGGCATCAGGATAATATCAAATAAGTTCAAGTCTACCAAATTCTGTCAAAAAAAATTCATTTAGGTCATTGATTCTGTCTGGTTAGCGGATTGCCAAAAACCCGAGTCATATTGGGACTTGAGTAGCTCACTCATTTCCTTGCTGTCATCTGTGAAGGACCCATCTCGTTTTAGTAAGGGCCCAATACTGGATGTTGTTCTCAACTTTTGTTTTGGTATAAGAAAAGAAATATTTTGGGTTTCTTTCAATTTCATTTATGGCTTTTAGTTCTTCCCTCATATCTTGGCTCCTGTAAGATTCCTTTAACTTTAGTTCGATGCTTGCTATTTCTCTGACCAGTGGCTCCCTATGCTTACCGATATATTGGTCTCTTTCAGCCGCTCTGTTATTCTTTGCCTTCGCCTGTACAGGGAGTGTCTTTCTCTTTCTAGTTTACATCTCCTTTTCCTTAAAGGAATATGCCTTGAGCTTACCTTGAGTGCCATAGAGTTAATTTTTTCTAGACACAGGTTTGGAGCCATCTTGCTTAGGCTATCTTCCCAGTTCATATCACTTAGGGCCTGGTTTACTTGGTCCTACCTTATGTTTTTGTTAGTAAAGTTGAATTTGGTGAAGGCTCCCTTGTGACTGATCACATCTTGTCAGTCTGGGGCCCTGCACATACATGTCTGTGCCTCTATTATGTTGTGATCTGAGTATATTGTTTTTGATATGGTAATATTTCGTATCAGATCATCATTGTTAGTGAAGATGAGGTCCAGTGTATTCTCCAGTCTTGTACGCTCTATTATTTGCTGGTTTAAGGTGAATTTGGTGAAGATTTAAAAGCTCATGTGTGTGCGAGTTTTCATCTGAGCTGCCTCCTAATGTTACCTCTGCTACAGCATTATTTGCTACATTCCTCCATTTTAGGTGCCTTAGGTTGAAATCCCCCAAGAGCAAGATGGTGGGGGCAGGAGCTGGAAGATTTTCCAGACAGTGATCAATTTTCAAAAACTGTTCCTGGAATTGTTGGGAAGTTGCTGCCCAAACTTCAACTACAGTATGTACATACATCATTTGAGGAATTTAGTGGTTCCAAGCATATAAGTGACTATGATGTACAGGCCAATCCACCCCTTTTGCCTATTCATTCTGTCGCATCGGAATAGGTTGTAACCCGGGATCCATGTTTCATTGTCAAAGTGGTCCTTTATGTGGGTCTCTGTGAAAACCACAAACATTGCATTTGACTCAGAAAGCAGTCCATGGGTGAAAGGTATTTTGTTGTTCATTGTTGGCTTTAGACCCTGTAATTACCCCCAGCACTCCGGAAAGCGTTGGGTTCATTCCCACTTCCAGTCAGGGATAACCATCTTCCTGTCTGCAAATCCCTTCATCCTGGCTACAGGAAGACTAATATCTGTTGTTTTGGAGTGGAGGCCATTGACTGTGATTCCACTCCAGAAATGATCAGAGTTGGTGTACAATTTCTGTCATTTCCTGCCATTTTTTTTTCCTTCCTGGCACTAAAAACCCTCTCTCTGGAGTGGCTGTGGCTACCCAGGTTTTTCCATGGTCTGGATGTTTTGTATCTTTTGTTCCCTTTAGGTGGTGTGCTTAACAATGTAAGTTATAGCATTGTCTTTCCTGAACTGAAGAGTGACACATTTCAGGGTGGAAAAGCTTACAGGAAGGGAGGTTGCATTTTCCTGTTGTCATATGGGCAAGGCATTTTCTGGGGTGGTCAAAGCTGCACATACCATCTGTTTTCTAGATATTCCATGCCTGCAGATACCAAGTGCATAGAATTTGCATAGGCCTGGTTTCTGCTTGCCTTGTTTTTTTGTGACTGTATTCCCTACTGGTGTGTGTTTTTCTGTCTCATTACTATCCTCAGTACTAGTACTGACTGCTAGATAAATAGGGGAAGCAGGGGTAAGGAAACATGCCCATCATGTCCACTTGGTTGGAACCGAACCCTAGCTTCTGTCCCTCATTGTATGAGCTGAGGCCACTACCAATTGATCCATGAGTACCCATGACGTGTCAGATAAAATGAAACAACTGAAATCTAATAAGAAGTAGAAGACTTTATTAGAATTAGTAACCCCAGTGGGTATATAACCCAAGAAAGCCAAGTAGCATGGCTTATATACATTGGGGTCCTAGGTGCTTCCCCAGGATGCAACCCACTACAGACAAATAACTAATTGGTATCTATTTATTATTAGACATCAACGACAGTGGGTGTTAGATTTGCCGACACATAACTTGCCCATGGTTTTACCCCAGATAAGTGCATTCAGTTGAGATGAATGCCCTTAGAATTACCTAAATTTACTAACACTGTGTTAGACAATTTAACCTCAAATTTTGAAAGGGGTTAAAAACCAAAATCAACATGGTACCATAGTGAACATAACTTTGTAGTAGTGCCTTATACTGCCCAAAATGCCTTGCATAAATATGATCTTTTTCCATATAAGAAACTTGAATCAAATATATATTTTACTGGAAAATAAATAAATATTATTAATACACAATAATAATGATAATAATAATATTTATTTAGGTAGTTACACACAACTACAATTAGATAAATTATCATACACATTAACATATGTGTACATTACCCAGGATAACTAAAAAAAAAAAGCAATAATTTATTATTATTATTTATTATCATGTTGCTGTACCGAGTTAACATTCAACTGAAGGAGATCCTGCAGCAACACACACACTTACTACTCATCCAAATATTAATTTTAATACAGGGGGAGTAGTGCTAAACCCTGAGGGGTCATACAGCACTTGGGGAATAGGAAACATTCAGGTTCGACTCGAGAGAAGGATGAGGATAAGTCTAAGTCCTTAGATCAAGAGCCCACCTCGCCAGCACGAAGGCACTATCCCCTTCCTCCCCAAAGGTCACTACACTCAGTGCCAGGTGGATCCAGGCACAGTGCCGGGGCAGCAACCATCATGCATGATTCAACTGTTACCGCCCTCTAGGAACTATTTTTCTCAAGTGTGGGAGTATTAATACTCACGAGATCTAACACTTATGAAATTATTTCAAGAGAGGGTAGATGATTAATTATTTGTCTCCGTCCATTCGTTACTCATGGATTTTGAGCCATTTTTTACTCACTTTTTCGGTATTTGTTGACATCTTCGATCGCCCTTGTTTATCTCCACGAGGCGCAGATACGAACCTAACCTTATTATATAAGAAAATTCTTACATATAAGTATTATTTACGTAAAATCATACTCTCAGCATAAATAATTATGCAGATAAAATCTACACATTTACATGCTGATGCATTTGATAACTAAATAATGACTGTTTAAATCGCGGGTGAAAAAAAAGTCCGATTCCCTTGCCTAAAAATTAGTTCATGGTAACATACAAATTGCAAAAAAATCTTACGTAATAGTCTTTCCTGGAGGGGTGTCTTGATGCTGGTGAATGACAATGACAACGTTTATTTCATTGTAAAGCCTACAATATGTGGTTTACATGTGATAAAGTATTAATTACTAAGGTCATTAGCATGCGTAGGCATTTCAGGCAGACCAACACTAATTCTTACTCTATATTGATATATGTTATGGAGCAATAGATTTGAACATACATTATTAGATCCCCATCAAATACCTTCAACACAGACTCCACTAAGTCTGAAACTTACTACAGTAATAAAGACATTACCCCAGTTTCCTATTATTAAGTGCATTTTATGACTTCCAGCGGACCCCAGATAGATATAATCAGTTTTTTTTTACTATTTTTGTTATTCTAGGTAATTTACACACATGTTACTAGATATGACAACTGTACTTGTGTGTACCTGTACCTAAACACACTTACTAAGTTAACCCCAACTAAAAGCACTGGATCTGATAACATTCCAGCCAAATTCCTAAAGGATGGTGTCTCTGAATTAATTAGTTTAATAGTTATTATGTGCCTCTGTAATCCTTTGACCACCGCCCACAGGATAGGTATGGGGTGCATAATAAAAATATTAATCTAACCTCTGAACTAATAGTCATCATTGCTCACATAAACTTGTCCATCACCACCAATACCGTGCCAGACGGGTTCAAGGAGCCAGATTTACTCCTTTGTATCTTCAAGAAAAACAGTAGATCTGACGTCAGTAACTATAGGCCTATTAGTATACACAATGTGATGTCCAAATTTCTAGACAAAGCGTTGTATTGTCAAGTAGTTAACTGCTACACGAGGAACAGGAAACATATTGTTAAGGTCAATAATACAGAATCAGAACCCCTGCCGATAGAATGTGCGGGTCCCGAAGGTAGTATTTTGGGCCCCTTACTGTTTTTATGAGAATTAAATGTTCACTAGTGTCAAATGTAAGCTTCTGTTGCATACATAAATTGTATGCTTTTATAGAGGGGGTAGATTACAATCTTGGCTTGTAAGTTAGCAATTTGAGAACAATAATACGAAAAGAACTTTCAACTGAATTTTATTGACTTAAGACTCAAGGAAATTGACACTAGTCAATCCATCTATCATCATTCTATCATGCAGGAGGAGCCAGGAGCGGTGACTAGACCCCTGCAACCACAACTAGGTGAGTACATGTCTATGGTGCATCCAACGAACTAAGCAGACTCTTGGATGTCATTACCGCCCGGCTCCGGCTGGGTTACAAGTATCTTTGGCAGGTTAAATCACCACCACCAGATAATAATAATAATATAATAATATCTTTATTTACTACATGTACATGGTATACAGGCCTAGCTGACATCAATGACATACTGCTATATAGGAAGCCCCTTATTATGCTCAGCATTTCGGGCAAATTAAGTCACTGTCGCAGGATGCGACACACACCAGTCGACTAACACCCAGGTACCCATTTTAGACCAAACGAAATGTAAACTTTGCCAGATGGACTATTGTTACACCTTGCGTCATTATGTACTGGGGTGCGATAAAATTAATGAATTCAGAAACAACTCACTCAGAAATGTTCAAGATATGTCAAAGAATTTTATCCTCAGTGGTATATTACAAACCATTCTGGAAAAATACCCTGGCTTTGCTCACTGTAAATAAAGCCGTAGGTCTCAAGACATTCCCAAGCCAGGGAGCCAAGGCCAGGTCACTACATGATAATATACACTTGGAAAATTCTAGAGGGACTAGTCCCAAATTTGCAAACGGAAATTACTCCCTACGAAAGTAAAAGACTCGACAGGCGGTGTAATATCCCCCCCCCCCCAATTAAAAGCAGGAGTGCCATGAGTATGCTAAGAGACAACACAATAAGTGTCAGGGGTCCTAGATTGTTCAACTTCCTCCCAGCATACATTAGGGGGATTACTCATAGATCTCTGGCTGCTTTCAAAAGGGAGGTGGACAGGTACCTAAATCAGTTCCTAGCCAGCCGGGCTGTGGTTCGCACGTCGGTTTGCGTGCGGCCAGCAGTAACAGCCTGGTTTATTAGACCTTGATCCACCATGAGGCCTGGTCATGGACAGGATCGCGGAGTCGTTAACCCCAGAAATACCCTCCAGATATACTCCAGGAGATTAACAGAGCACTGTCGTCTGTATGCAACAGTTTAATATCTTTATTATGCACCTCATATCTATCCTATGGGCAGTAGTCAGAGGATTACAGAGGTACATAATGGGTCCAGGGACTGGACCCCAAAGTTTTGATAGCTGAGCAACGTACATAGGTAATGAACTCCAGGTAGATCTGGTCACAATCATAAACAAGTTACAAAGGTAATGAATCATCTACATGTCTATACATGGTTACAATCATGAGCAAATTATAAAGTAATGAGTAATTCACACGTCCACACCCGGTCACAACTGTAATGAGTTATTAGTGCAAATATTGCTCCTCCTTCCTCCTTGATTCGCCGGTACTCTTCCGGCCCGGGTCTTTTCCAGTGGTGACCCGGCCTTGGCTCCCTGGCTCGGGAGTGTCTTGAGACCTATGGCTTTATTTACAGTGAGCAAAGTCAGGGTATTTTTTCCAGAATGGTCTGTAATATACCACTGTGGATAAAATACTTTGACATACCTTGAACATTTCTGAGTGAGTTGTCTCTAAATTCATTAATTTTATCGCACTCCAGTACATAATGATGCAGGGTGTGACAATAGTCCATCTGGCAAAGTTTACATTTCGTTTGGTCTACATCTGGCGGTGGTGATTTAACCTGCCAAAAATACTTGGAACCCAGCCGGAGCCCGGCGGTAGTGACATCCAAGAGTTTGCTTATCTGGCAATATAAACACAAATGCAGTTGACTACGTTTCGCCCACACAGTGGGCTTTTTCAAGTCACAAACAGGACTACCTGGGGTGGAAGGAACGCGAGTATTTATAGTCCGGCTGAGGTCAGGTGAAGAATGCTGCATCTGATGATGTACCGAGTGGGGTTATAGAGTCTAAAAACTTGGGTAGCTTGGAAAGGAGATTGGATAAGTTTGTGAGCAGACCTTCTACAGTGTTCTTATGTGGGATAGCGATGAAGAAGTTTCTTGGCAAGTGGTTCAGCTATGTTATAGAAGCCACTATTCTGGTTGAAGTTGTCGGATATAGAAATGAGTGATGATTCCAGGATTCTTCGGTATTGAGTGTTGTCTTCTGTGGCGATAAGTCTTGAGTTTCTGTAGTTTATCAAGTGGTTGTGTGAATTACGGTGTTGTACGCAGGCATAGTCCTTCCCACCAACTCCATTGCCAAACATGTTTCCAACATTTTTGCCAAAACATCATTCCAAGTATCTACCTCCACAACCACGACCATCAAGGACATCACCAGTAGTAGGCAGGACAAGCCTCCATCCTCTGCAGGGGTATACATAATCCCTTGTAATGACTGCAACAAGTTATACGTGGGCGAAACATCAAGGGACCTCCAAACACGTATTTCAGAACACCAATACGCAAGCAGGTCTGACGACACAAGGAATGCCTGCGTACAACACCGTAATTCACACAACCACTTGATAAACTACAGAAACTCAAGACTTATCGCCACAGAAGACAACACTCAATACCGAAGAATCCTGGAATCATCACTCATTTCTATATCCGACAACTTCAACCAGAATAGTGGCTTCTATAACATAGCTGAACCACTTGCCAAGAAACTTCTTCATCGCTATCCCACATAAGAACACTGTAGAAGGTCTGCTCACAAACTTATCCAATCTCCTTTCCAAGCTACCCAAGTTTTTAGACTCTATAACCCCACTCGGTACATCATCAGATGCAGCATTCTTCACCTGACCTCAGCCGGACTATAAATACTCGCGTTCCTTCCACCCCAGGTAGTCCTGTTTGTGACTTGAAAAAGCCCACTGTGTGGGCGAAACGTAGTCAATAAAGGATCACATTATACTGCATTTGTGTTTATATTGCCATTGTGTCGGTATTTTATACCATTTATTTCCAGTTTGCTTATCTTGTTGGATGCACCATAGACATGTACTCACCTAGTTGTGGTTGCAGGGGTCTAGTCACCGCTCCTGGCTCCTCCTGCATGATAGAATGATGATAGATGGATTGACTAGTGTCAATTTCCTTGAGTCTTAAGTCAATAAAATTCAGTTGAAAGTTCTTTTCGTATTATTGTTCTCAAATTGCTAACTTACAAGCCAAGATTGTAATCTACCCCCTCTATAAAAGCATACAATTTATGTATGCAACAGAAGCTTACATTTGACACTAGTGAACATATAATTCTCATAAAAACAGCAAGGGGCCCAAAATACTACCTTCGGGACCCGCACATTCTATCGGCAGGGGTTCTGATTCTGTATTATTGACCTTAACAATATGTTTCCTGTTCCTCGTGTAGCAGTTAACTACTTGACAATACAACGCTTTGTCTAGAAATTTGGACATCACATTGTGTATACTAATAGGCCTATAGTTACTGACGTCAGATCTACTGTTTTTCTTGAAGATACAAAGGAGTAAATCTGGCTCCTTGAACCCGTCTGGCACGGTATTGGTGGTGATGGACAAGTTTATGTGAGCAATGATGACTATTAGTTCAGAGGTTAGATTAATATTTTTATTATGCACCCCATACCTATCCTGTGGGCGGTGGTCAAAGGATTACAGAGGCACATAATAACTATTAAACTAATTAATTCAGAGACACCATCCTTTAGGAATTTGGCTGGAATGTTATCAGATCCAGTGCTTTTAGTTGGGGTTAACTTAGTAAGTGTGTTTAGGTACAGGTACACACAAGTACAGTTGTCATATCTAGTAACATGTGTGTAAATTACCTAGAATAAAAAAAAAAGTAAAAAACTGGCTTATATCTATTGGAGTCCGCTGGAAGTAATATAATGCACCTAATAATAATAGGAAACTGGGGTAGTCTTTATTACTGTAGTAAGTTTTAAGCTTAGTGGAGACTGTGTTGAAGGTATTTGATGCAACTGTCAGTTTACTGACTAACATCACTAGATAAGATAACCTTTGTGCAACATCTGGGTATCTTTATTGTAGACGTTTCGCCCTCCAGTGGCTTTATCAATACAGATCCTAGGACATAATTTGAAGATAGTAGAACTATGTACAAAAGATGAGGTAATAAATCCCTGATCCTTGGACAGGCAAGGAAGCTGGCGCTTATATACTAATCGTCAGGTGGAGAGGGACGGGCAGTAGACGAGGCGATAGTCACTGGTCGGCGGTATTTCCCAGTGGAAGTACTACAACTACTGCTACAACTTACCCAAATTCAAATTCAAATTCAAAGTTTATTCTCTATAAGGATTACAATGCTGAGTTTACAGAAATTTGGTTATTGTTTGGTTTACATGTAGTAAAATTGAGATTACAGAGTGTACCACTAGAACGCTTAGCATGGCTAGGCATTTCGGGCATACTTAGTTTTATTCTTAAATGTAAAATATTACAAATTATGAGGTAAGTTGGTATTATGGCTAAGTGACTAAATACTATTTTGTGAGTTTAGCAATGTGAATGCTTTTGTTTTGGCACAGTATATAGTTTCAGTATTGGAGTATCACAGGATTCATTATTTTAAGACTGAGATTAATATTTCTGTTTATGGTCAAATGAGTGAGCGAGTGTAAGTGTGAACCACCAGGTGGTATTCGTGAAGTTAGTTGACGGGGTGTATCAGGGAGATAAGATGTTTTCAAATGGTAGTTTTGAAGGTGATGAATGTGTCTGCAGTTCTAGAGTTCTCAGGTAGGGTATTCCAGATTTTAGGGCCTTTGACATACATTGAATTTTTGTAAAGGTTTAGTCGGACACGGGGAATGTCGTAGAGATGTTTGTTTCTGGTGTTATGCCTGTGGGTTCTGTCACAACTATCAAGAAAGCGTTTTAGGTCAAGGTTGATATTAGAGTTTAAGGCCCTGTAGATATAGATTGCACAGTAGTAAGTGTGGATGTACTGAACTGGGAGTAAGTTTAGATCTTTGAAGAGTGGGGGGGTGTGCTGCCAGGGATGGGATTTAGTGATTATTCTTACTGCAGCTTTTTGTTGGGTTATTATTGGCTTTAGGTGTGTTGCTGCAGTTGATCCCCAAGCACAAATAGCATAGGTGAGGTATGGATAAATAAGTGAGTGGTATAGTGTGAGAAGGGCATTTTGCGGCACGTAGTATCGTATCTTGGAGAGGATCCCAACCGTTTTGGATACTTTTTTGGCTATATGCTGGATATGGGTGCTGAAATTCAGGTTATTGTCAAGGTATAAGCCTAAGAATTTTCCCCCATTATTTCTGGTAATTAGAGTGTTGTCAATCTTAATGTTAATTTGTGCATCTCCTGCTCTGCTACCAAACATAATATAGTAAGTTTTGTCAGTGTTAAGCGTAAGTTTATTGGCTGTCATCCAAGTCGATATTTTAATCAGCTCCTCATTCACAATGGTGTTAAGGGTGGCAAGATTAGGGTGAGAGATGACATAAGTCGTGTCATCAGCAAAGAGAATGGGTTTCAGGTGTTGGGATACGTTTGGAAGGTCATTGATGTATATGAGGAAGAGCAGGGGACCAAGGACACTTCCTGCGGAACTCCAGTATCAAGTGGCCGTGTTGCTGATGCTGTGTCTTTAATGGTGACGTACTGATACCTATTAGTAATGTAAGATTTGAAATAAGCAAGCGCATGGCCTCTTATACCGTAGTGGTCAAGTTTGTGGAGTAGGATTTCATGGTTTACTGTGTCAAAAGCTTTTTTTAGGTCAATAAAAATTCCTAGTGGATATTCCTTATTTTCCAATGCTGTGTAAAGCAGATCTAGCATTTTTATGATTGCATCATTAGTGCTTTTATTTTTCCTGAATCCAAACTGGCAGGGGTTGAGTATGTTTTGAGCCGTTATAAATGAATACAGTCTCCTGTGCACGAGTTTCTCAAAAATTTTGGATAGCAATGGTAAGTTAGATATTGGCCTATAGTTGTTTAAGTCTGTAGGGTCACCACCTTTATGTATTGGTGTAACCCTTGCCATCTTGAGTAGTTTCAGGAAGGTGCTAGTCTCTATTGACTTGTTAAAAAGTAATGAAATAGCATGCGAAAGGACATGGGCCGCTCGCTTGTACAGTAATGGTGGGACATGAGACAGATTCCCCGAGTTATTTTTAAGTGACTTTATGATCTCAATGACTTCCGTGGGCTCAGTTGGTGCAAGATAGAAGGAATTAGGGAAATTTCCATCTAGGTAGTCCCCGGCATGGGCATTGGTATGTGGGATTTTACTGGCGAGATTAGATCCTATGTTTGAGAAGAAGTCGTTTATCTTGTTAGCTGTGTCAGTGGGATGTAGTGGTGTTTCATTAGGTTTAGTTAGGACAATATTCTTGGTTTTTCTCAGTTTGTGGGTCCCTAGAATCTGAGAGAGAGTTTTCCAGGTCTTTTTTATATCTCCTCTAGTGTCTGTGAATCTACTGGAGTAGTATAGTTGTTTGGCTTTTTTTATTACTTTGGTGAGAGCTGATGAATAGTGTTTAAGAATATCTTTGTGTATTAAGCCCTGTCTATATTGCTTTTCATATTGGTGTTTCTTGTCAATGGATTTCAGAATGGTGCTGGTTAGCCATGGGCAACCAAGCCGTTTGTTTGTGATCTGTTTTGTTTTTATAGGACAATGTTTGTTGCATAGTCTAAGTAATTTGTTAAGAAAGATGTCTGTCCAGTCATCAATACCATTGGCCTTGGAGAATTCTGTGGGCCAATCAACAGTCTCTAGGTCAGCTGTGAACTTCCTTACTGAGGCCTCGTCATGGAGTCTAAATGAGACTTTGTTGTATTCAAGTGGTGGTTTACTAATGTTTGTCAGGAGGAAGGTAGGGTAGTGGTCTGTAGTGCTATCTGTGATTATCCCTGATTTAAGGGGGGCTAGTATATTGGTCCATATGTGGTCTATTATGGTTGCACTTGTCTCAGTGAGCCTGGTTGGTTTAGTTATTGTTGGTATGAGAAGTGTGTTGTTCATATTGTGGGATGGGTAAGTTGTAATAGTAGTTGTAGTACTTTGAAGGTCATGTAGATGTCCTCTGAATCCTCTGAACCAATCTTGTACAAGATAATGTTAAACCTAACTTTGTTATTTTTTTAAATACACTACCTAACAGAATACTCCATTCTACTGAATGAACAGCAATGCATGCAACCATTGGACCTGTCTTTGTAATACTCATTTGTATTTTATAGTTATCTGTTTACAATAATGTCTTATCACTGATTTCATCATTGCTTAGTTAATCTTTAAGTTAATTTTAAGCCAGCCCGTAATGCTATACATATAAGTGGCTTTGGCATGCTGCTCTTACCTGTATTTTTTGTACCTCTGTTTGTATGCTAAATTTCTAAATAAATAAGCTTGCTCGGATTTTTAAACCCGGAAGGCTAGCCATCCAGGATCAAGGCACCCATTTGAAGGGTTAATTAACAAATATTAATATTATTTGAGAATATTTTTTTTTGTATTTTATTTAAGAGACAAGGGATTCGGACAAGTTGTGAGGGATAACGAATGCAACAAAATTCAGTTGGTAGTAGGAAGGGAGGGAGAGCAGCTGATAGTATGGTCCCAGCATCACTACGTTCAGCATCACTTTATATTCTTGGCAATGGCTGCAGCTTCGTGTGTCTTCCTCTCCCGCTTGGTGACCAGGAGAGCCTCAGTGGTAGGCCTACTGAGGAATAATGGCTGCACAAGAAAAGACATAACTTTTACCCTCCCAAGACATGTCTCGTCCTCTTCCTGGTTATCACAAGCTAAAAAAGAATGGTGAGATTTTTTTTTTTTTTGGTCTTCTACAATTAATATGATATATGTCATCGGATAAGAGAATCTGTGATGTATGCACCTGTTCTCTGTATAGTGTTGGTCAGGTAAATTACATAAATTTTTCGAAAAAAATGGGGTTTATATAATGGAACTTACGTATGACTTCAAAAGTTTATAGTAAAGTTAATGTGTGCTCCTCTCACTAATATTTACGACTCATGGGAGTCAAAATAAGCAAATTCTTTTGAGAAGTAAAGATAATTCTGCATTACGACTATTTATTTATTTATTTATTTATAAATTTTAGCATACAGAGGTACAAAAAATACAGGTAAGAGCAGCATGCCAAAGCCACTTATATGCATAGCATTACGGGCTGGCATAAAATTAACTTAAGATTAACTAAGCAATGATGAAATCAGTGATATTTGGATTAGTTACCCAGGTAATGAACAAAAAGATAAGTAAGTAAGTTCATTCAGGTATACACAAATATAGTTACATAGATTATCATACATAGCAGCATGTGTAGACAACCTGGGATGACCCAAAAAAGTCAGTGATATATTTCCATTGTGGTCCTTCAATACAAGTAAGTTTATTTGGCACAGGTACTGATAAGTACAATTACCATACATAGTGTAAATTACCCAGGATAACCCAAGGAGGGTTAATAACCCAGGATAACCCAAGGAGGGTTAATAACCCAGGATAACCCAAGGAGGGTTAATAACCAAGGATAACCCAAGGAGGGTTAATAACCAAGGATAACCCTTGGAGGGTTAATAACCAAGGATAACCCTTGGAGGGTTAACCCAGGATAACCCAAGGAGGGTTAATAATCCAGGATAAGCCAAGGAGGGTTAATAACCCAGGATAACCCTAGGAGGGTTAACCCAGGATAACCCAAGGAGGGTTAATAACCCAGGATAACCCTAGGAGGGTTAACCCAGGATAACCCAAGGAGGGTTAATAATCCAGGATAAGCCAAGGAGGGTTAATAATCCAGGATAACCCTTGGAGGGTTAATAACCCAGGATAACCCTTGGAGGGTTAATAACCAAGGATAACCCTTGGGAGGGTTAATAACCCAGGATAACCCTAGGAGGGTTAATAACCCAGGATAACCCTAGGAGGGTTAATCCAGGATAACCCAAGGATGGTTAATAATCCAGGATAACCCAAGGAGGGTTAATATTCCAGGATAACCCTAATAGGATTAATAACCCAGGATAACCCTAGGAGGGTTAATAACCCAGGATAACCCTAGGAGGGTTAATAACCAAGGATAGCCCTAGGAGGGTTAATAACCCAGGATAACCCAAGGATGGTTAATAATCCAGGATAACCCAAGGAGGGTTAACCCAGGATAACCCTAAGAAGGTTAATAACCAAGGATAACCCAAGGAGAGTTAATAACCCAGGATAACCCAAGGAGGGTTAATCCAGGATAACCCAAGGAGGGTTAATCCAGGATAACCCAAGGAGGGTTAATAACCCAGTATAACCCAAGAGAGCTAAGCAGTGTGGCTTATACCACCCATAGCTGTCCTGTAGCTTGATTGCTAGTGCACTCAGCTCCCACATTGAGGTCCATGGTTTGATACCTGGTATGAGTGGAAATAAGACATGTTTCCTTAAGGCACCAGCTACCCATGTTCACCTACCTGTAAGTAAAATAGGTACCTGGGTGCTAGTTGACTGGTGTGGGGTGCACCTAAAATCAGTACCTTAAATCAGTACCTGACCAGCTAGGCTGGTCAGGTACTAATTGCAGTAACAGCCCGGTTGGTCTGGCCCTGATCCACCATGAGGCCTGGTCATGGACCAAGCCGCAGGGTGTTGACCCTCGGAATGCCCTCCAGGTGTACTCTAGGACATCCTGGGAACAATATTGACCTAATTTGCCCAAAGTGCTCTGCATAACAAGGGGCTTTCTATATAGTAGTATGTCATTGATGTTGACTAGGCTTGACAGGAGTAAAACAAGAGAGAGAGAGGGGTGGGTAGATTGCATTTTGTTGGACAGTAAGAAGGCATTTGACACAGTTCCACACAAGAGATTAGTGCAAAAGCTGGAGGACCAGGCAGGGATAACAGGGAAGGCACTACAATGGATCAGGGAATACCTGTCAGGAAGACAACAACGAGTCATGGTATGTGGCGAGGTGTCAAGAGTGGGCGCCTGTGACGAGTGAGGTTCCACAGGGGTCACTCCTAGGACCAGTGCTGTTTCTGGAAGGAATAGACTCCGAAGTATTCCTGTCTGCAGATGATGTGAAGTTGATGAGAAGAATCCAATCGGATGAGGACCAGGCAGAACTATAAAGGGATCTGGACAGGCTGCAGGCCTGGTCCAGCAACTGGCTCCTGGAGTTCAACCCCACCAAGTGCAAAGTCATGAAGATTGGGGAAGGGCAAAGAAGACTGCAGACAGAGTACAGTCTAGGGGGCCAGAGACAACAAACCTCACTCAAGGAAAAGATCTTGGGGGTGAGTATAACACTGGGCACATGACTCACTGGGCACATCTGAGGCGCACATGAACCAAATAACTACTGCATACGGTCACAAAGCAAACCTAAGTACAGCATTCCAACATCTTAATAAGGAATCGCTTAGGACCCTGTACACTGTGTACGTTAGGCTCATATTCGAGTATGCAGCACCAGTTTGGAACCCACACCTAGCCAAGCATGTAAGGAAACTAGAGAAAGTGCAAGGGTGTGAAGGTTTACTCAGCCCTATAAGATCTTACGCAAGTATTACTAAGGCTGGCTCCTCCTTAGGAAAAGTAATAATAGAAAAAATAACAATAACATACAAATGTAAACACTTTATTGTAAGAAATTATGGAACATGAGAATAAATCCTATTTGAAAGAAGAATGAAAAATGAAATATAAAAATGATAATTGAATTCAACTCTAATTTGTACAGATGTCATTGTAGAAGATAATGTGAATGTTGACACAGTGCATCGTAGAAACTGTAGCCGTTATTGATGGGGGGAGGTCACAGCTCTTACATGACAACCCAACAACCATTTAGCCACACTTTATGTCTAGCCTTGAATAGTCCGTCGAGATGATAGGTACGCAGGTCTTTCGCCACTGCAGAAATTAGAGGTAACTGCCTGGGTTTAGCTACGATAAGGTAAGTAGATCGTGGGTGACATCTCGTAACTGAGTTTGGTCCTACTCTGTCAGATCTTCTCTGTAGTTGCCAGATGACCCTACCTGGCAGTCCAAGCTAGAGAGAGAGAGAGAGAGACAAACATTAACCATTGCTCGATAAATCACTCTCCATGATAAGTGTAGGGTATTTAAAAGAATGGTGAGGATTTAAAGAAAAGATTTAAAATGAAAGTCAGGACAGGATGAACTAAGTCTCAAAATTAATTAAAAGTGAAGCTTTTAAACAATACAGTGGAACCTCTACTTGCGAGTTTAATCCATTCCATGACCTTGCTCGCAACTGGATTTGCTCGTTTGCAGAGTCAGTTTTCCTCATTTAAATTAATTGAAATGCAATTAATCCGTTCCAGTGGAATTCTGTACTTCAATAATTTCGCTAATATCAACTCTTTGGCTTATTTATCTATCTCACTTCATCTAATATGACATAATAAACAATATAAATAACATAGAAACCTGATATATACTTTAAAATGAATAAAATATGTCATTCATGAAGTGGTATGGGCGGTGTCGGCGGTGGACAAGAGTTTGTCTGGAGACTGGGTAAAATACTTCATGAATAATTTCACTAATATCATCTATACGGCTTATTTATATATCACAGTTCATCTAATATGACATAACAAACAATATAAATAACATAGAAACATGATATATACTCTAGAATGAATAAAATATGTCATTATGTAACAGGTGGAGGCAGCCACAACTGCTCCCTCTTTGTTGTGGAAAACACTGCCATCTAGTGACGGCCTTTTGAAGCCGTCTATTATTATAATTATTATATGTAGTATGTACATTATTATTATATATGTATTATTATTATACATATTATATTATTATTATTATTTTTTTTTTATTATCACACTGGCCGATTCCCACCAAGGCAGGGTGGCCCCGAAAAAGAAAACCCCCCACCATCACTCACTCCATCACTGTCTTGCCAGAAGGGTGCTTTACACTACAGTTTTTAAACTGCAACATTAACACCCCTCCTTCAGAGTGCAGGCGCTGTACTTCCCATCTCCAGGACTCAAGTCCGGCCTGCCGGTTTCCCTGAACCCCTTCATAAATGTTACTTTGCTTACACTCCAACAGCACGTCAAGTATTAAAAACCATTTGTCTCCATTCACTCGTATCAAACACGCTCACGCATGCCTGCTGGAAGTCCAAGCCCCTCGCACACAAAACCTCCTTTGCCCCCTCCCTCCAACCTTTCCTAGGCCAACCCCTACCCCGCCTTCCTTCCACTACAGACTGATACACTCTTGAAGTCACTCTGTTTCGCTCCATTCTCTCTATAGGTCCGAACCACCTCAACAACCCTTCCTCAGCCCTCTGGACAACAGTTTTGGTAATCCCGCACCTCCTCCTAACTTCTAAACTACGAATTCTCTGCATTATATTCACACCTTCTCCTCGCTGCAACATTCATCACCCATGCTTCACACCCATATAAGAGCATTGGTAAAACTATACTCTCATACATTCCCCTCTTTGCCTCCAAGGACAAAGTTCTTTGTCTCCACAGACTCCTAAGTACACCACTCACCCTTTTCCCCTCATCAACTCTATGATTCACCTCATCTTTCATAGACCCATCCGCTGACACGTCCACTCCCAAATATCTGAATACATTCACCTCCTCCATACTCTCTCCCTCCAATCTGATATCCAATCTTTCATCACCTAATCTTTTTGTTTTCCTCATAACCTTACTCTTTCCTGTATTCACTTTTAATTTTCTTCTTTTGCACACCCTACCAAATTCATCCACCAATCTCTGCAACTTCTCTTCAG